GCTATGTATGTATACCGATTTAGGAATAATTATTTATTATGTAACACCTCCCCCTCTTGACAGGAGAGCGTCCCGATCTCCGAAAGAAAATTAGTAGTATTGTTGACATAAAAATGTTATATAAGTAACAAACGAATAAAAGGATATGAACACGAAAATTGTTGTTTCGTCTTCTGTTGTTTCTTGAAAATGAATTTGATGAAAAAAAATCACTATCAAAAAACCCTTGAAATAATCAACATAAAGTAATCCATCGAAAAAACTAATCAGAAAATCATTTGAATAAAAAGCATAGTGGCCATAATGATGATAAAATGATAATTATAATAAAGAAACAATTCTAATAAAGTAATAATCCTAATAATTCATCATATATTAATCCGACATCATAATGACCATAATGATAAATATAATCATAATAATCAGATCGTTAAAAATCCTCATAAACACGAACGTGTTTCAGATCAGCTGTCGTTACTTGTTTTGTATAGTTTTGATCTTCATCACTATCAGGATCTTCAATTTTTACAATAAATGTTGAGGGACCTTTTTGAGCAATAACCCGATAAGGACCTTCATATTTTTCTTGAAATTTTGATGTTCTATTAATAGCTCGTACTAGAACTAAATCACCAATGTTGTATTTTGGATCAGGTCGATTTTGATCGTATCGACTTTTTGCTGATCTATTTTGACGTTGAATATTTAACCTGACATGATTGATAATTAATTCTCTTGAATGTTTCACCTTGTCATAATATTGATTTGGTTTCATAAGGGATACTTTCAATTGCTTTGGGTCCATCAGCAATTGATTTTCTCTCGTGAACATAATATGAAATGGTGTTAATGTTGTTGTTGCATGCTTACTGGTGTTGTATGCATAGATTATCGGTTGTAAATAATCATCCCAATCTTGCGTTTGATCGGAAATTAATTTTGATAATGCTGGTGCAAATGTAGCATTAAATCTTTCCGTTTGTGCATTGGATGTTGGATGACATGGAGTCGCAAGAATATGAGTTGTATTGCATGACTCAATGATTGTTCTTGTCAACTCTGCAACAAAATGTGGTCCTTGATCAGTAATTAATTTTGCTGGTGCACCATAATGATAACATACATCAAGAAAAAAATCGGCTGCCTCTTGAGCTGAATTTGTTTTCACTGCTCTTGCAAATACGAACTTGGATAGGTAATCAGTTATTGTAATAACATATCGATTACCTCTTGCTGTAGGTTGATTAGTTGGACCCCAATAGTCCATACCCGCTAAACTCATCACTTGATTAGGTGTTGGAGTAATATTCATTTTGCCAGGTCGTTTTGTTCTGGTATAATTATATTTCGAACATTTCATACACGACTGGATATAATTATTAATGGTCCGATGCATATTGGGCCAATAATACTTGTTGATCAATTTATGTGACGTTTTATTACTTCCGAGATGTGCTGCCGTATGATGATCGTGATAAAGAAATAGCACTTGGTTAATCATTGATTTTGGAATCCACGGAAGTTTAATTTTTGTTTTACCACGTGGAACTAATTTATGTATAATACCATCAATAATTTCATAAGATTCCTTATTAACTAGATTTTTTATTTTTTCGTGGATTTCCTTGTCCTTCATTTGTTCTTCCTTTAATTTCCTCATACTAAATCCAATATGTATTGAAGGAACTCTACCTAATCTGTTTGATGATGATAATGTTGAATCAACACATGTATCTAATGATGTAGATGAAGTCGACATCCCATTCTTGTTTGTATTCCATGATGAAGGTGAAGATTTTTCTTTTAATTTACCGGTTCTTAATCGAGTGTTATGAACCTTACTTGTCGTTGAATTTAGTGAATTATTATCAAATGTTTTTTTTTCGTGATCATACAACTTTGTTGCTTGATCATGAACCATAGAACGAGTGACCACATTGATTGTTGCTATTGGTTGAAGGTCTGGTTCACCATCATTTAATTCATCTACATGAGGAAATAAATAACCTTCATCTTGTTTTCTGATACTAACGCCATTCGAGGAATTTTTATCATTGTATAATGGATAACGAGAGAGTAAATCAGCATCACAATGGCACTTTCCTTTTTTATATTTAATTTCAGTAATATTATATTCGGATAGAATTTCAATTGACCATCGATCAAGACGTCCATTACGTGATTTCTTTTTATGAAATTGACATAGAGGACAATGATCAGTTTCAACTTTAAAATCTTTTCCAAGTAAATAAGGACGTAATTTGGTAATAGCCCATACCATTGCTAATGCTTCTAATTCTGTAGTGGAATATCTTGATTCACTGTTGGATAATACACGTGATAAATAATAAATTATTTTTATTCCACCATCTTCAGTTACTTGTTTAAGTACAGCACCTAGACCAACTTTTGAAGCATCAGTTGATAGTATATATGGTAAATCTGGATTCGGAAAATCAAGTACTAGTTCTGGTCCAGTAATAATCTCCTTCAGCTGCTGAATAGCTTGCCGCTGTTCTTCACCCCATTTAAAATTATGCTTGTTATGCTTGGTTAAATTAGTAACTCGATGAATTGGAGCAGCTATTTTCGAAAAATTCTTGATAAACTTTCTATAAAACCCTAATCCACCAATAAATTCATTAGCTTGTTTTAATGTTGGATAATCAGGTAAATGTAATTCACGAATTGCTTTAATATTATCATGTAATGGAGTAATTCCATGTTCACTAATTGAGTGTCCCAAATAATCAATTCTGTTTTCCATTAGTGAACATTTAATGGGATTTAATTGAAATCGATGCTGGTCAAGAATATTAAGAATTTCATCAAGATGATTTAAATGATCTTTAAATGTTTTACTAAAAATAATTATATCATCGAGATAAACCAAACAATATTGTTCACGACCATTGACGATTAAATTGTACATAGTTCTCTGGAAACTTGGTGGAGCATTTGTTAAGCCCATCGGTAGAACATTAAATTCCCAAAGACCAGTTGTTGTTATAAATGCTGTTTTAGGTTTATCATTTTCATTAATTGGAATCTGAAAATAACCTGAACGTAAGTCCAACTTCGAAAAATAACAATTTCCAGCTAATTGTTGTAATGTTGATTCGATAGTTGGTATTGGAAATGAATCTTTAGTTGTTATCGAATTAAGTTTCCTATAATCTACCACAAATCGATAATCACCATCTTTTTTTTTGATCAATAACACGGGTGACGACCATGGAGAAGATGATGGTCGAATTTGATTCGATCGTTCAAGTTGAACAATTATTTTTTTTAATGCTTGTTGTTGTTGTAATGAACCTCTATAAGGAACCGAGTTAATTGGTGGATGATCACCTGTTGGTATTGTATGATGAATTGATGTAAGTGCTATTGTTGGTGAAGACGTATCAAAAACTTTTCGATATCGTTGTATAACTTGTCGTGTTTCAATTCTTTTTTGTAAGTCAATGATATGTTGTACCACTTGGTCGAGAGTTTTTTCAATGTCAATAATAATGGATAACGTCCGTTCTGTTGAATTATTAATTGTATTAACACACAATGATGTTTCAGGTACAAGTTGACTTGCTATAGATTTATAACGTTTATGAAATTGATAATCATGATCAACACAAGAAGTTTTATCATTTGATACAACAGATGGTGATGAATCCAATATTTCAACAAATCTTTTGTTATTATCTTCTTCTAAATTTTTAATAACTGGTTCAGCTTCATTAACAACTTGATCGGCTTGTGTTAAAAAAGATATAAATCCTAGATTTGTATCACATGATAAATATATAGGAAGATCATTTGTATTAGTAATAGCTAATTTTGTTAAGTAGTTTTGTATTCGAATAAATTCTTGTGTCAAAAAAATTTTTTTTCTTGCTTGTAGACATAAATCAGGTGAAAATAATACTTTTGTTGCTGTTGATATAGTGGTAAATGCTTCAACAATTTGTTTTGTACGTGGTGGAATGGAAATAGAATGTTGAAGTTTAACAGGAATTAAATGGTTTTTAAATGATGTTCGAAGAGGTACTGCAGCTTTATTTCCTAGAATTTCAATTCTATCTTTAAAACGATTTATTGTTACCTGATAAGATTTAATCCAATCTTCACCTAATATAACATCACAACATAATGTTTTCGTAACTGCTGCTGTTACATATGTTCGAATATGTAGAAATTTTATTTCCAAAGTTACATATCCAATGATAGAGATTGATGTTTTATTCGCCAAAAAAAATTGATGTTGTATCGGATAAAATTGTTGATGTTGTATTTTGGAAAGTGATGATTGCTGGATGATGCTATTGGTTGCTCCCGTATCCACAAGTACTTCCATTATTCGATTATTAACAGGTACATGAATAAAGTGTAAAGGTGATGGATATTGAATATAATTGACGGAGGCACCACCATCTAGTGACCCCGTTGTTGAAAATGTTGTTGAGGATGTTGTGAAAAGTTAATATCCGGGCAATCCCTTCGAAGATGACCAGGTTTGCTACATTGATAACATATTCGATTATCATGTGTTTGTTGTTGTTGCGATGATGTTTGAGAATGTGAATTTTGGTGAGATTCATAATCAGGTGATTCATAATTTGTTGAATAATGATTGTGTTGATGATTATTATAATTACGATGTGGACGATTAAATACAGTTTGTTGCTGTTGATCAAAATCTGAAGTTCTGATTGATGACAAATTAACTACTCCTCGATGATTAAATGGAGTGTTCGAGGATGACTTAAATGAAGAAAATGATTGAAATTTTGTTACTTTTTCTTTTTCGATTTGTTCATGTTGCTGCATTATAGTAAGAAAATCTTGTGATGATGATATTGGTAATGCATAGTGCTGGAGTTGTGGACGAAGACCTCGTCGAAGATACTGAAGTTTTTCTTCTTCACTAATTTTTTTATCCAGTTTAAGACAAAGACGATTAATATCTTGTACAAATTTACCAACTGGTTCATTTTCACCTTGTTTACGTGATAATAATTGAGCTAAATAATCTATATTAGTTGGTTGAATTGGAGGGGGAAATGCATGTAAGAAAACTTGTTTAAACGATGTCCAGTTGAAAATTTCATCATCTTGATGATAATACCATTCCTGAGCTGGACCACTTAATTTTATTGTTGCTAATTCATAAATTTGTTGATGATTTAATCTAAGTGCTTTTGCTGTTTGTTCTAAACTTTTTAACCAATTCATTGAATTTTCCGAACCAGAAAAATTTGGTATAAGTTTCACTTTTTCATTCTTAGCTGATTGTAGTACCTGATATGATGATTCAATTGAAAATGATGATTCAGAACTATCATGTTGTTCAGCCAATGGTTTAAATGTATTATCATATGTATGTATTATTTTTTTTTCTATTGGTGCTGCTTTAGCTGATACATCAGCACGATTGAGATCTTTGGATGTTGAATTAATGGTAGATGTTGATGATTCTGATGAATTATAAGTGAGCAGAAATTGATGAATAAAAGTTTGCATATCTGGTATATGTAAACGATTAATACGATACCATAATAAGGCTTCACCATTTAATTTTCCTGCTGCTAAATCACGTTGTTCACCTGGACTTAAATTTTGCTGTTCAATAACTGCAAGAATTTGATCTAACCATTGTCCTGGATCTTCACTCTTTTCACCTGAAAATGTTAGCACCTCTGTTGTCGAGTTGATTGAAGGATGATTAATCTTTGATAATGATAAGCTTTGTTGACTGTTGTAAACTGGTAATATAGAATTTTGATAATCAACTGACGATTTCATTAATAATTGACTATCATCATTACATGTTGTGGTGTTTTTAACCTGATATGATGTAATAGTCGATGTGGATGGTAAATGTTTAATATCGGACGTAGTTTCTTCCGGCATAGAGTTCATTGTTGAATACATGTCGTTTTCACTCTTTAATAAATGATCGTGAATCGATGTCTGTTTCAAATTTAATTTTGTTCTAGTAGCTGGCATTCATTCATATAATTTATAATTAAGTAAACCAATTGCCGTGTATCTTCAATGTTTAATCCTTTGCTAGTAAATCAATATCCGGTTTTTCTTGTTGTGATGTTGGATTGACAACAAGTTGGTCAGGCCCCCAGTTAGATAACGACGTATTTTTAATCAAGTGAGAACAAACGAACGAA